TGGTCTTGTATGTTTATATTATTATCCTTTTCTTTCTGTTTTGTTTATGTTTTCTTCCTTGTCTCTGTTAGCTTTCCCAGTTTATGAAGCAATGAATGCACAGAGACAATAGCTGATGCAATGGGGGGTCAGGAAGGGGGAGGGGAATTGGGGAGCAAACAAGGAATGTGGGCGGGGAGAGGGAGCACTAGAACTGATTATGATGATGTATGCACAACTCTTTTTAGAGGTGACTTAGCTATGGACATGTATGATATGTGAATTTTATATCAAAAGAATGACTAAGAAAAAGAAACCAAGTTGGCCAACGTTTACCATGGGTGCAGGAGGAAGGGGTTTGGCTTAGGGAGTACTGAGTTTATGCTAGGTCATCAATCTAGGAGCACAGAGATGCTGGAGGGAATTTTGGCACTCATCCCGTGGGAGGGCGGCAGCTGTGGTGGGTAGGGCTGGGTACTCTTGACTGCTGGGGGTAAAGTTGGAGGGAAATGTGGTCGAGGTGGAAATTAAACACCGAAATACAGCAAAGTAATGGTGCAAATACTAACTGCTAAGCACAACTGTAGCAAGACTACAGTACTCACTTCACAGGTGCACCCCAATAAACATGGAGGGTCTGGTGGGTCCTTCTGAACCTAATGCTAAACTCACTACCATAACATTTATTAAAGCTCACAGAGGCCACGTATAGGCTTTCTGAGGCTTTGCAAATCTTTACAGGAGCAGGTAGCATCAGCTTTCCCGTACAGAGCAACTAATGGGCCTGAAATGTCAACCTAACCTTACCAGTAACTGTTCAACACTGACAAGACAGAGCTAGCAAATTGGAATAGGCAGAAACAACAAACCGAAAAGGCAGAGGAGTGAGAAGAAAAAAGGAAAGGAGGAAAGGAAAACCAAGAGAGAGAAACGGGTTAATGGACTCGCACAAACATGGCTGCGGGGCAATGCGGAGCATACCCCACAGAGCCAGCACCATTGTCTATGGAGGGTCTGTGCAGGGAGGCACCTGATCTCTGAGATCAACAAGAGACAAAAAGGGGTATACAGGAAGAAAAGAGGGAAACAAGGAGAAGAGGGAAGAGAGGATAAAACAGCTTAGTTCTGGTGAATGTGTTGGTCGCCAAACACAACTCCAGTGGGAAGCACCATGGATCTGGGAGAGTTAGAGGGAAAAAAAAAAAGCAAAGAACGAAGAAAGGGGGCAGGAGATGTAGCGAACTAAAGAGTGAAAAAAAAATCAGACAGCACAGACACTGGAGGTGGGGTTTTGACCAGCTACAGCAGCGGTTCTCAAGCTGTGGGTCGCAACCCCTTGGGGGGGGGGTGTCGAACGTCCCTTTCACAGGGGTTGCCTAAGACCATCGGAAATATGTGTTTTCCGATGGTCTTAGGAACCGAGACCCCGCTCCTCTATATGTCTCCAGGCAGGTCCGCCCACATACAGATATGCCCACCTACGCGGCGTGAAGACTGTCACCCATGCTACACTATGCTTCCAGACAAACTTTCACGTATTTGTCATTAGAAAGAAATATTTCACCATCTATAATGACATATTGTTTTTTGTGATGAATCATGATGCTTTAATTACGTTCAGTTTGTAACCATGAAAATACATCCTGCATAGCAGATATTTACTTGATGATTCATAACAGTAGGAAATGACAGTGATGAAGTAGCAACAAAAATAATTGTATGTTTGGGGGTCACCACCACATGAGGAACTGTATGAAAGGGTGGCGGCTTAGGAAGGTGGAGAACCACTGAGCTACAGGATGGGTAGGGGTGGTGGGGACTGTGCCTCTTGTGGCCAGAAGGTGGTGGGAGAGTAGTGATTGCTAACCACCAGCGTAGATGCTGGTGAAATCCCTAAGCTAGCGGGGCAGGTGATCTGGTTCCTGCTCTGAACAGGCATTGCAGTAATGGAGACTGGCCACGCGCCTCCAGGTCACTGCTCTGCCTATCTCATTGTTTGCATTTTTGTTCACCGGCTGCCTTTCATAGGTATTTGATCTACTTTAGTCTTGCCTTGGGAGCTCTGGATTCCCAGATTACCATCTCTATCTGTTTAAATTGGTTTCTTGGGTGTTTGTGGTAGAGTCTATAGTGTATCTGTTTAGTCTACCAGCTTGGATCTTCCCTAAACAAGTCTCTTGAAATGGGGCTTATGTTATGCTATTTCATCTTTAGCGTCTTCCTCCCTTGCTGACGCCTACTTTTCATTCTCCTGACCTGGCTTCTCTTCTGCCAGCTCTAGAGATCAATGGAGCTCATTATCCCATTTCCATATCTCTCTGTAGGATATTTTATCTACTCTCATGGTTTTGAATAATATCTCTAGTCTAAAGATTCTTACATTTATATCCCAGGACAACCCTCTCCTCTGAGCTACAGACTTAAAATCAGCTGTCTGCTTGACCTCTCCACTTAGAATTTTCACAGACATCTCAAACTGAACGCTTCCTAATGGAATTTTTATCTGTCCCTTCAACTTTCTCTTAGCCTAATCTTTGTCAACTCAGTATATGGTGTTACTTAAACAACTCAGGAGTCATTTTTGATAGTTCACTTTTCCTCCCCCTTCCTGTGGAATATGTTAGAGAATCTTGGTATTTAAAGCTCTAAGATGCCTTTTGAATGTATCTTCTCTCCATCCTTTCTGCAAGCACAGGTTGACTGCCATCCCTCACCTGGCCTGTGCAATAGCATTAATAGTCTCATTCGTTCTATGTGAATTCCCCTATTTCCATTTATTACACACCTCAAGTTATTTTAAACAGCAAATTTTATCACAGGGCTTACAAGGACCTGACTATTTGTTTCCTTCCTAAATTTCCTACACATGTTCTTTCTATTTCCCATGTAGTAGTTTTTTCTTTTAGTTCTTCTAAAACTCCAAATAGTTCCTTCTGCAAGACCTGGTCCTTCTTTGAATGCTATTCGCTACCCCTCCCATCAACCTTGCCTGATTATGTCCTCAGTTTCCAGATTAGCTTCCCCTTGACCATTTCCAACAAAATCATCTATCAAGCATACGTGCATATTTGCACACATGTGCACATCGAGCAAAGCATGTGTTAAATTCATAGTACTTATCACAACTCAAAGCCAAATTCACTGCCATCACATTGATAGCAACCCTATAGGACATTGTAGAACTGTCCCTGTGAATTTCTAAGACTATAACTGTTCAAGGAATAGAAAGCCCCATTTTTTCTCTCCCAGAGCAGCTGGGGTTTTGAACTGCTGACCTTGTAGTTTACATTCCCATACATGACTAGGGATTCTCCACTCACCTGTCTTGGAAGAAGTACGACCAGAGCGTTCCTTAGAAGCTGGAATGGCAAAACTTTGTCTTGAATACTTTGGACATATGTGTTGTCAGGAGAGACCAGTCCCTGAAGAAGGACATCATGCTTGGCAAAATGGAGGGGCAGCGGAAAAGAGGCAGGCTCTCAATGAGGTGAATTGACACGGTGGCTGCCACCACGGACTCAAGCATAGGAACAATTGTGGGGGGGGCACAGGGCCCTACTTGGTTCTATTCCATTTGCATATGGTTGCTATGAGTCAGAAGTGACTGGCTGGTACCTAACAACAATAACAATCACAACTTAAATTATGTTATGGGTCCCTTTCTTTGTTTTTAGCTTTTCTCCCCCTCTAGAATGTAAACTCCATGAGATACAGAATATTCCTGATTTGTAGACAGGAGAGAGAAAGAGAGAGAGACTTTTTCACTGTTTTATGCTAAGTACCTATTTTTAAAAAATTGACACACATTTAACATTCCGTTAATAATTGTTTAATGGATGAATTAATGTATTAAGTGCCTAATGTGGGCTTAGAATTGTTCAAAGCATTTTTACACAGACTTAATATGCCACTATAGGGTGGGGACAATGTCAGAGAAATGACGTAACCTACTCAAGGTGACACAACCAGAAAATGGCAGACTTGGTATACGAATTCGGGCATGTCTCTTTCCACCATACAACGTCATGTCCTCACCATCACAGCTTTACCATCACTCTACTTTATCTCCTTTACTAATGTTTCAAGAAATTGCTAGCAAATACATGTTACGGATTATAGACAACCTTCAATATGATGATGTTGAATGCAATACACATAATGAAATGCAAGACACAACTTTTAATTGGTATGGAATTTCTGGAATTTAAGGAAATAGAATTGACCTTATCTAATTTACACCTAGGGGATTCAGAATTTCCATCGCTACAGATAATAGCACCAGCAGCAGTAGAAACAACCAGAGTAAGATTTCCAAGGAAGGGGCATTTCATCTCTATTTTTCCAAATAAATAGTTGAAAATGGACATATTAATGTGCTCTAGTCACAGTTGGAAGATTTTATTTATGCATTCTATATGAGGTCTGGTGATGCAGTGAGTAAAGCACTTGGCTGATAACTAAAAGTCAGCAGCTCAAACCCACCAGCCATTCCACTGGAGAAAGATGTGGCAGTCTGCTTTGGTGCAGATTCATAGCGTCGGAAACCCTATTAGGCAGTTTGACACTATTCTATAGACTTGCTACGAGTCAGCCATCAACTCACTGGCAGTGGGTTTGATCTTTTCTTTTGTTGTTGTTGCTATACATTATATATATGATGGGGTGATTAAAGTCATGGATTAACTCTCCTAATGGCCCCTTGGAGAATGTGGTCAAATTTATTAAGAATCCTGAACTTCCAAGTGGAGAGCAAATGTTTTGAGAATAACGAGGGCAATGAATGTACAAATGTGCTTTACACAATTGATGCATGTATGGATTGTGATAAGAGTTGTATGAGCCCCCAATAAAATGATTAAAAAAAAAAAGAATCCTGAACTTCCAGAAAGAAGTCAACTATGTAGGGGGAAAAAAGCTATTGGGATATGTATGATACTGATAAGCAGTTTGATTTTCTTATTTCTAAATATAGCATTTGATCAATGGTCATTCCTCATATTTTAATTTTTTAGAAGCAAATTATGGCTATCACTGAGGAAGAAAATGCGACCCTAATTTCAGAATTTATCCTTTTGGGTTTTGGAAATCTTCATGGACTACAGTTTTTCCTTTTTGGGGTATTTCTGACCATCTACGTGATGACTCTTGCAGGCAATATTGTGATCCTAACTGTGGTGTGCATTGATCGCTCCCTTCACACACCCATGTATTTCTTTCTTGGTCACTTCTCCTTCCTAGAGATTGGTTATACCACTACCATCGAACCCTTGATGATAAGGACACTGCTCTCAGCTCATGAGTCCATTTCCTTTGCAGCTTGTGCTTGTCAGTTGTACTTTTTTGCTGCCTCCGTGGCTACAGAATGTTTCTTCTTGGCTGTGATGTCTTATGATCGCTACCTAGCCATCTGTAACCCACTGCATTATACCAGCATCATGGACCACTGGGGCTGCTTACTGCTGGCTGGTGCCTCGTGGATGGCTGGGTTTCTGGCTCCTGTCCTTCTCGTCACCCTCATTTTTCGGTTAAAGTTCTGTGCTGCCAATGAAATTGATCACTTCTTCTGTGATTTGAAGCCCATCATGAGACTTGCCTGCAGTGATACACAAACAGCTGAGATGACAACTTTTATATGCACTGCTTTATTTTCCCTTGGTCCCTTCATATTGACTTTGTCTTCCTATATTCATATCATTGCCACCATTCTGGGGATTCCTTCTACTACAGGGAAGCAGCGAGCCTTTTCTACCTGTTCCTCTCACCTGACCGTAGTCACTCTATATTATGGGACTCTCGGCATTGTCTATGGTTTCCCATCAAGACCTCAGTATGAAGATTTATTGAAGTTGCTTTCCCTTCTCTATACAGTGCTTACCCCTGCCCTCAATCCTATCATTTACACTCTAAGGAACAAAGATGTGAAGGCAGCTCTAGGTAAAATGTTGCGATAAGAAATGTCAAAAATTGTTGCGATAAGATATTGTCACAAGACTTTTAATTTTTGTTTTCTCTTTATTTTTCTTAATGGATCTTGGTACCTTTTGAAAACCCCAGCAGAATGCAATACATTGTGTAGTGTCAAAAGTAGTTATTGGGAAATTGATGGATTTGTATTTTATCAGTAGGAGACTAGTTCAATAAATTAAAACACATCCACACAATGGAATAGAAAGCTGTCATAAAAATATAAATAAATAATACTGATATGGAAAGATCTCACAAAATATTGTGAAGGGCTAAAACAAGGTACAGCACAGTGCATATATTTCAGCTCCATTTATGTAAAAAAGGCAAAAGAAAGTATTTATACTTGGTTGATTGTAAATGCGTAGATTATTCTACAATGATACATATGAATTTGGTGCTATCAGTTTCTTCTTATTTGAAAAACTAAATGGGAGAGGAATGTACATTTTGAGATGTGATCATGTAAATAACTTACTGAAAAGCCATCAGAGTTTAACAAATCATTGTAAATCAAATAAAATATATAATGGTTAAAAGGTCCAATTTCATACACTAACATGGAAGCACATCTGGACACTTGGGAGGTTTCTTTTCTCTAACAGAAATATGATAACTTCTTTGAGGGCAATGATCTTGTCATTTACTACTTACGCATTCTTCTACAGTGTCTTAAATGCTCCCAAATATGTTCCTAGCATAGGTATTTGGCTCAACACTTATTACTCTCATCCAAGCTAGGGGAGTTCAGTATTCACCAATTATAACAATTTCAGACAACTTGATGTGATCTTATTTCTAAAATGAAGAATCCAAGGGAGAAATGTGTGAGCTGCATTTTTATGCTCCTACTCCACCTTAGCTGTGCAGCCAAAAAGGCTAGCTAGGGTCTGGGTACGAAGTGAAATGGCATCTTATGATCTTCCTTAGATAGTTCCAGAGTAACTTCCTTTAATGTAGATATGTCCATATTCCTTTTGTCTTGAGGAAAATTGACAGTAAACTTTGTGGTCAGTGGTGGAGGATCTTGAGCACGGAATTTTTAGAAAGGCAGCCTAAACCATTCATTCATATACTTAATATATTTATTACATATAAATTTAACATATACATAAGTAATTTAAATATAAATCTAAGTGTAAGTACCACTATGTACATAGTATTGTTCTGGGTACAAGAAAGACAAAGTTCAAAAAAAAAAAAAAAAAAAGAAAGACAAAGTTCCTGTGAATTTACCTTGTGAAATTCCTCATTGCACCACTGAATCACATACACAGTACTAGGCATATAGCCTAGACCGAGTCAATATTTGTTGAACTAAACCAAGCTGCCAAAGGAAGATGGGTCATCCAACTTCTTGCGGATGCGGAATTTATAAATTTCTGATATTTTTATCCCTGACCTTAAGGCACCCTGGTGGTGTTGTCAGGTAAGCATTGGATGGCTGCCTTCACTCGAGCTTGGTGGTTCATACCCATTAATCTCTGTGAGAGAGCAAGATGAAGCCGTCAGCTTCTGTGAAATGGTACGGCCTCAGCAACCCTCCCTAGGGTGACTGTGCAGGGAACGGGTGCGATGGCAGTGCGTTAGGACTTGGAGAAGGAGATTTGATGGGGCGGTCAGTTCATTACTGGACTGCTATCCAGATCCTCAAGAATTCAAACCCACTAGCTGCTCTTCGGGAGAACTATAAGGCTGTCTGCCCCCATAAGGATTTACATTCTTTGAACCCTATATACTCTTACTATGAATCGAAATCAACTCCATGGAAGTGGGTATTTTCCTAACTTCACTTTGTCTGTTTTCCAGATTTACAGAGTTTAGGATTCACTAGAAGGTAGGGCAAGATAAATGTGGCCAAGAAGGTGGAGCGACATATTCTTGTGGAAAACTTCAGAGTTATTGTGTACTCCACAACACCAGCTGACATTTGCCAATGAGGAGGCAGCAAGTCCAAGGAGAGCAGCAATTAGATCTGATTGAGTTTCTTCATTTTAATACCTGAGACAGGGCCTTATTGAGATCATGTAGGGACCTCTAATAAAGGCAAGCTGTTCTCTGCATATCACTTAATTAAAGTACTTAAGGAGGCTGATCGCATGCCATGCTCTCAGAGGATAGATGACACTCAAAATGGTGCCTTGAGTATGTTTAGGGACTTCATTCTTAAAGGATAATACAAATAATAAGTCCTTGAAGAAAAATAAACAAATTAGGGCCAGGGTGGGCAATGCTAGGAGTCAGAGCAAATAATTTAGACAGGTGACAGTTCTATTTGCCCTACAATAAGCCAGGAACCTAGATAGAAATGACAAACTCAGACAAATATTAAGTTTTAGGGATACTGCTATGAAAGAAGGGCAGATGTCTAAAAATTTTTTGGTATTGGGATGAAATATAGTACAGAACCCTGCTTCTAAATGTAGGTTCATGCCTACATTGACTTGAAACCAGAAGAACATATTCTAGTTACTATTACTGAGTGTTTTCTTTGAGGTTCTATTAGATATTATTAATCGAAAAGGATAGAAATTTGGAACAGACTTTCAAAATCTCATGAAATAAAGAGCCAAAGAAGCTGCATGAACCCCTGAAACTATTGCCTGAGATCATCTTAAACTTCAAACCCAAATACCTCCTGAACTCTTCTTCAAACTGAATAATAATATAACTTAACTGGTAACGAATCTGTGCCTTGAGCATTGTACTCTTTTAACGAACTATCTAACAATTTGGGCTCTGATACTATTTCCACTGTTGGCTTTGGATGATATGATTTGCAACCCGTTGGTCACGGATGTTGGTGTGCTTCTTCCATGTGGGCTTCCATGAGTTGACATCTAACTTAGATGGCTGCTTGTTTTGAAACAAGCCTTTCACCTCAGACACTTTTATCTGATAGCTGGGCACAATCTAATTTCTTCACTATACTTTGTTATAGCATCCATGTCTTCTGTGTTTCCTTCCTGAAAGTGAGTATCAAGCAGGGCCATAATGCAAGAAGTAAATGTTCTTAATTCATAGCTAGGATTCAGTAAGAGCCACAAAGCCATTCCCGGATCTATTTCTTCCAAAAAATGTTTTTTTTTAATCTGCCGTTGGCTCCCTTTAGAGACCTACTTGCTAATTTATAGTAGTCTTATCTTTCATCTCCATGGAGCATAAAGATTTTCCATTAATTTTGTCATTGACTAGCCCCTGGTACTAATATTTAAAGCACAGTTGAAAAAAAGAATATTGGGCCAAAGTAGGCTAACTATATATCACAATACCAAAATAAGGTTATGGATGACAGTGGGAGCCCAAGATACATTTGTGAGATCTCGCCAGGAAATAAGTCTCTGGTGATTTCCCTCTATACCTAATGGAGGGATGGGAAGAAACTGGTTACAAAACAGAGGACATTGGAGAGAAGATGATAGGAGATCAAAATGATCAACCCGACTTGAATAGTTGATCCCTCCCATACACGTTGGGCCTGATATGACTTTTAACATTTTGTGTGTTTTCCGCCTTTTGGGTTATGTTGTGGTTTAGCTATGATGTATTTTGTCATTGGGGATGACCCTCTTGAACTTTTGCTATAGTTTTTTTCTGTTTGTTTGGGGTTTTTTTGATCATTTTATTGGGGGGCTTATACAATTCTTATCACAATCCATCCATCCATCCATTGTGTCAAGCACAGTTGTACATTTGTTGCCATCATTCTCAAAACGTTTTCTTTCTACTT